CAATAATAACGTAGTTACTGTAACGCGTTACTTAATAACGCGTTAGTCCCAACACTGGTTATTAACAGTACTGAGTTGGCGTGAGCAGTCGCCTGAATGTGCAACAGCTGGGTCAAAGGGTGGGTACACAGACAGACCGTGGAGTAATAATGTTGGAAAACAGAAATTATATATAATATGCACACGCACATTTGTGTTTAGGACTAAATTAAACACACTAATAGGATGAGAAATTAGTTTTGCCAGTCAGCTGTAACACCTGAACGCCGCCTGCTGCTGCCGAGAATGTGTGAAAACTGGTTAGTATGCAATCAGAGAAGTTTAAATATAAAGCAAATGGTGCTGATGAATGACTGAGACATCCAGACTCTGTCACACCAACGGGGCTGTCTGATGAATACAAAAGAAAGCCACAGGAGCCACTCTAGTAACTATCTATTGTGCAGAACATATTACTGCAAAAACATCATCTGTATGAACACGAACGATTTCACTCTTAACATGTCTTAAAATGAGGTATATATATGTATAATGTCAGATACATAACAACACCTGACATATTACACTGAGCCAAAGTGCAGAAGCGATTTGTGCAAAACTAAGTGCAGCCTTACTGCTTCTATAGGAATTGAGAGGGTAAGCAGCAGCCAGGTGCTGATAATCAAACACACTTGATTGAGTGATCATAAGCAAGAGTGAACCCCTGCATAAAAGCAGGAGTCTTAGCAATTTACTGGCCTGCCGCAGTCAGGTGTGTGTTAATGCAATCTCAAGGAGGAACGGTGTCTGTGCTGTCTTAGAATAGCAGTTTCTGCTGCCCATATGGGAAGGGTCATAAGGCCAAACAATATAAAGTCCATCATTCTACGGTTGTAAAGATTACTCACAAGTGGAAAACATTCAAGACTGTTGGCCATCTTCCCAGGAGTGGACCGCCCAGCAAATTCACCCCAAGGTCAGTTAGGATGCTAAATTTTAAAGCTCATGCCAATACAGTTTGGAGAAGGAAGAAAAAAAACATGAACATGAAGTATGGCTTGTTTGGAAATTTTGCCAGAAGATGGGACTCTCTAAAAGGAACATGGCAGCACAGCTTAGGCCAGCGAAGCTGCATCTGAACAAACTACAATGTTGTTTGGAAATCTGAGACCTAAGTGGAAATGTTTGGTTCTTCTATGCCACTTTTCTCTTCTCAAAGTGCTTTATACAACTTGCCTCACTCACACAAGCATTCTGTTCCATTTTTGCACTGATCATCACCTGCACACGTGTATATATTAATCTGCTTAATTTTATTTTTATTTAAGTGTTTTCTTACAATATGTTTTGCACTAAGTACCGCAGGAATTTCCTAATGTTGTAAACCTGCTCAACATTTGGCAATAAAACCCTTTCTGATTCTGATTCACACCGTGATAAATGTATCATGTGACTGTGATGGGGAACTTCAGCATTTTGTACTTGCATGAAGACTGAAGCAGCCAGGGATCACACCACCCCTAATGTACAGCGGCGTGTTTGGTGAAAGCCAAACACCTACCAAGTGTGAAGCACAGTGGTGTAGGGGTGATGATCCATTATGAACTCCTCTCACTACCAAAGTGTTCTAAAGTTAAGTCTTTCTGTCTAAAAGATAAAGCCCAAATGAGTAATACAGGACAACGAGCCTAAGCATTGCAGCACATCTACAACACAATGAATGAAAAAGAAACATGTTGCAATGGCCGTGCTATTAAATCATGGTGTGCATGTGATTTTTCTTATTACGTCTATATTTTGGTGTGTGCGCGTGCTATGTGTCAAGTGCTGTTCATCTGATTTGTGTATTAAAATAATTTTACAATCTGGTAAAGACTTTTTTTAAAACTGTAGGTTGTGATACTTCAAACCTTAGACCTCAAAGAGGGAGTACTTTCTTTGACACATCTTAAAGGAAACAAAAAGGAGGACAACATTCCCAGCTGAAACATTAAAGGCATGAATTGGAGCAGACTGTTTCACTTTTCACCTGCAGTGCTCTGCCGTTATACTGCATCTCCTAGCAACAGAGACCTGTTTACCTACAAAACCTGCCGAAGACAGAGAGGTGAACAAACAGCCTGGAGTTGCAGGTACGTCCTGGGACTAAGTGGCAGATTTCAGTGCTTTTGTGTTTAGGTTTTTTTTTTTGTTTTTTTTTCTGGGATCATTTATATTCAGGGTGAGTAAAAATGGCTGGGACTTTCCTGGAGGATCGCAGCTCTCTCTCCACTCATACAGCAGTAGACAAAGGCAGCACTTATTGCATTATTTCCTTCTGACTCTGTTCTCATTTATTCAGCAAGCTCCAAATTTAACTGGATGCTGCCGAAGCTAAAAACTTAGATGTAACACTTGCTTTTATTTGTGGTTACAGCAGTGTCCGCAGGCCCACAGGATTGTTTTTTTTGCCATCCATCACTGTTGTCAGTGACTGTTTCCATTACAGCAGTCACAGATGGCTGAACAGGGGAGGATTGTCATACCGGCTACTGGAGCAATTGGCAGGAAGGGGCAACTGACCAACAACGCTGTCAAACTCCACAATACTACTTACACAGCATCTCATGGTGAAGATGATGAGTGAGACTCTCCAGAGTTTCAGCATAAATCGCACTGATTTGCATTCAAATTTGGGTTCTGACAGACAATTTTGCTATATCTGTCTCAGACTCAGACAGGATGGAATTCACTTCTTATCTCGGGCGTCCCAGTGAGACAGGCTTTACATCAAACCACAGACCAGCTATATATTACAGGCCTAGTTTGGACCACATTGACAACCCTCAGTTTGCGTAAGTGTCAGGACACTTTTCCCCCCGCCCTCTGCTCATCTTTTATAATGGCTACTTTGGTTCATCATTTTCTGATAATGTTATTAGCAAAACCTGTGCTTCTCCTTCAGTGATGAGCAAAGCTCTCTGGTGGCTGGGGGACTCTGTAGAGCTAATATTTGTCCAACTTTGGCATGTGCAGAAAAGCTAACAGAAGAATCTGAGAAATGTCAGTCAAGCTGCACATCTCTGTGAAATCTTGTCAGCCAGAATGATTACAGGCACGTTGTGGATTTAGATGAATGCTTGCAGATATCTTTCTCCAAAGCCTCTGCTTCCACGCTTAAAGGGACTTTATTACTTTCAAAATGTGAAAGTAATAAAGATAATAATAATACATTTTATTTGAAAGTGCCTTTCAAAACACTCAAGGTCACTGTTGAGTTGGGACTTAGAGGGAGAAGGAAGAGATATTTCTAAAAATCGGGAGGTAGGGAATTCCAGAGTCGTGGAGCAGAGCAGCTGAAAGCCCTGCTCCCCATGGTTGCAAGACGGTGGGACGGAGAGTGAAAGGGAAGAAGAAGATCTGAGACAACGAGATGGGGCGGTGATCTTAACCAGATCAGAGAGATATGGAGGAGAGAGATGATGAATAGCCTTAATAAATGTGTACAAGAGTATTTTGAAATTGATGCGATATTTGACCGGGAGCCAATGAAGCTGCTGCAGGGCAGGAGTGATGTGGTGGACAGAAGGGGTCCTGGTGATGATACGGGCAGCAGAGTTCTGGACGCGTTGGAGCTTGTGGATGGATTTTTGAGTAAGACCAAAAAGAAGTGAATTTAAATAATCGATCTGGGAAGTAACAAGGCTATGGACAAGAATGGCAGTGGCATGTGGGGTGAGAAAAGAACGGAGACGATTAATGTTGCGCAATTGAAAATATGCAGACCGAGTAACATTATTAATGCGTGAATTGAAAGATAAAGTACTGTCGAGGATGACACCCAAACTTTTCACAGAGGAAGAAATGAAGACCGGTGAGTTATTGATAGTAACAGAGAAACTGTTGGTTCTGGATAATGTTGATTTAGCGCCTACCAAGAGGAGCTTGGACTTATTACTATTGAGTTTGAGAAAATTAGAAGAGAACCATGAATTTAGTTCAGCTAAACAGAGGGTAAGGGAGGATGGGGGAAGAGCAGAATCAGGTTTAGTGGACAGATAAAGCTGGGTGTCATCGGCATAACAGTGTAAATGGATATTGCATTTACGGAAAATCTGTCCAAGCAGTAGAGGGTAGATAATGAAAAGAAGGGGCCCCATCAGACAGGTATGATTTAAACCAGGCTAGTGGAGTATGGGAGAGACCGATGGAGGCTAGCCTACTGAGAAGTACAGAGTGAGAAATAGTGTCGAAAGCAGCACTCAGATCGAGGAGAATAAGAATGGAAAGTAAACCGGAGTCAGCTGCCATAAGAAGATCCTTGGTTGTTTTTATAAGTACTGTTTCAGTGCTATGGGAAGGGCGAAAACCAGACTGGAACTGTTCATGCAGATTATTATTAGTTAAATGTGAGTGGAGTTGTGTGGCAACTATTTTCTCAAGAATTTTTGAAAGGAATGGTATATTGGAAATAGGCTGAAAATTCTCAAAATTATTGGGATCTAGACCAGTTTTTTTCAATATTGGGGTGATGATGGCAATTTTGAGGGAAGCAGGAACAGTTCCAGTGGTAAGTGAAGAGCAGATGATAGCAGACATGAGGGGAAGCAAAGAAGGTAGACATGCCTTAACCAAAACTGTAGGAATGGGGTCTAGCTGACAAGTAGGTTTTGACTTATAGATGAAATCTGAAATATCAGTAACCGAGGGGAGCTGGAAAGCAGAAAAACAGTGTGATGGGAGATGAATTACACAGGAAGAGCTAAATGGAACCTCGGAAACCAGTTCTTGATGTATGAAATTAGACCTATGCACTTGGGTTATACAGGCAAGTATGAAAGTGTGTGAAAATCTCTGACAGAGAGGTTCAAAGGATGTAAACAAAGGACTTTAAAGGTGCTTCACTGTAAATTAGATTCCCTGATGCGATAAAAGATTAAAAAAAGAAAAGAAAAAAAAGCTAGACTGTCAAGAATGAAGCGTGTTTGTCTGAAGTGTTACCTCAGACTCGGCTCTGCCTTTGTTTTTCAGACTCTTGTTATCTGACAGCTTCGTCTCTCAAACTAAACGACACTACCAGCCTCCCATCCGCTCTGGATGTTCTGGGTCTTCAACAAACATCGTTAACAAACCTGGAAACAGCGGCTTCCATCAGCTGAGGATTCAGCCGAAAACCGCATCAGTCGAGGAGAAGGTATGACAGCTCGGTTTGACAGCACTTAAACACACCTCTTCAAGATGATGGAAAGTGTAATATTATGTTATATACATAAACTTTCTGTTATTGCTTAAATGTTTCCTCAGACAGAATATCAAAGTTCATTTGTGCCTCATCGTCCTACGCCAGCAGGTAATTTAAAGGCTACAATGCAGAACTTTGTGAGCTTGAGCTGTTCATTTATAACTACAAATAATGGAAAACTTTGATAAAATGCCACAGTTTCATTTTGAAAAAGCTAACATTGTTGCTTCAGTTTCTCAGAACCATGTGACTGTAGGTCCTAAAGGAGGGAGTGGTTTCACTAAGGCAGCAGAGCTTCAGGTTAACACCAGCTTGATGGTGAGTGGTTTTTAAAGGTATTGGAAGCTATTCTTAGCTGAGATTTTTATATTCTTCCATTTTTTAAATAACCTCTTATTAAGAGATCCAAGTGAAAATGCTGCCTGTGTATCCAAAACCTGACTTTACATCATGGTTACAAAGGGATTATATTTGTTTTAAACTACATGCTATATCCAAAAGTTGGGATACTGTGCAAAATTTAACAAAAAACAGAATGCAAATCATAAAAAGCTTGTATAGACTCATTGGCCACTTCATTAGTTGCATCTTACTAGTACAGGGATGGACCCCTTTAGGCCTCAGAGCGGCCTCAGGTCCTCATGACAAATAGACAATGTTGGAAACAGTCATCCGATTTTGGTCCATATTGTTGTGATAGTATCACACAGTTGCTGTAGATTTATTCACTGGACATCCCAAAGATGCCCTACTGGATTGATATCTAATGCCTGTGAAGGAGGCCATTTGAGAACAGAACAGTTGTAAGGAGTGGTTGTTTGAGTTACTGTTGCCCACCTTTCATCTTAGAGCAGTTTAGCCATTCTCACTGAATGTTTTCTTTTTTAGGCCATTCTCTATAAACTCCAGAGATGGTTGTGAGGTGGGTAAATCATGCAACATTCAAAGTCGCTTAAATAACCCCTTTCCCTCGTTCTGAAGCTTGGCTACATGTCTAATTACACTGAGCTTCTCCCACGTGATTGGTTGTTTGAGGTACTTGTGTTAATCATCAGTTGAACAGGTGTGTCCAAGGTGGCTGGTGACTGTGTAATCAAGTATATAGACAGCATGCCAAATGCTGAAACTGGGATATTTGAATCTTTTCAATTTTTTAATGCATATAAATAAGACCAGTACAGTTGAAGTCCTCTGGCAGCTACAGTATGTGTATCTGTGAGTTCTTATCTGTATATCTACTTGTAACTGTCAACTGTTGATATTCAGGGTGAACCTCATCAGACTCCCAGCTCAGTGATGAAAACAGACTTCATGCCACTGTCCCTGCTGCAGGTTGAGCCACACAAAAAGCTGAATTCATTCGGGGAGGGGGGGGCGCAGGGGAATCTTTCATGTATAACTCTGAAGTTTGTTCTGTGTCTCAGGGTACTGAGGCGAAATCGGGCCTGTGCAGCCGTTCTTGCAGAGAAACGGGATTCACACGAGGTGACATCGCTCCCTTGGCCCACCCTGTTAGTGCTGACTTCTTCACAGTTTTTCTTTGATGTAAAAGCGCAACATTAATGCTTTTTGTTTTTATTTAATTATTTATTTCTGCCTCTAATCATCTAGGTCTCTCTTCTGTCATCGCCCCAGACTAAAACAGAGGCCCCGATGCCATCTATCATTGGACAAAAGGTTAAATATGTTCATGCAATAGTTTTTCACTCTATTTATCGGCACGTTATCTGGATTGTTCAACAACATTTAAATTTTTTAGGAACCCACAGGATATGTTCTGAACACTCATAAAAACCAAACTTTTCCTGATGCACCACTTGATCCTTCAGACTTCATCACACATTATAAAAGCAAGTAAGTGTAATTAAGTTAATTAACTTAATAAATTGTCACTTTTCACCCTATAACTGTAAAGTGTGTTACACTATTTGGCTACCTGCTTATTTTCCAGGTTTTGTCATCGTGATGACAGAAACTGGAAAAGTCCAGAAAAGTTCAAATCAACGAACTCTTGTCCCAGGATTGTCAGCTCTAAAATGGAAAGTGGCTACAATCTTCGGGATACGGACAGGTATGTATGTTATGCTCATGAAGTCGTATCATACAGATTTCCTTTGACTGACATGACCTAGTTTTATTCTACAGGTACATCCTCAGGGGCTAGACCTTCTCACACCTGTGATGATACCTGCATTGCTGCTTTGTCACAAATAAAAACTGAATTTTTGTGTTTGTTTGCAGTCTGGCATGTTCTATTAGTAAAATCGTTTAAATGCATACAACAAATATGAATTGCTTTTTTTTTTGAGTGGAAACTTCGCCAGCCAGATGTGTGAATGGTAGAAATCCAAAGAGGGAGAGAACGAGATGATGCATTGTCTTTGACCACCTTACTGTCACTGACCTACAGAGAATGAGAGGAGTGTAAACTAATGGGAAAAATAATTACAGCCAGGCTGAGTAAGGCACTGATTTCCAAGGATGTCTGTGGTGTGTCAAACTGTTCTGCCACCCACAGCAGAGTCTGGATGAGCAGCAGAGCCTAAACTGAGTAGGAGGCTGAGATTGCACTATTGTGCAGCTACATACTGTGCACCTACTCTGAGCCAACTCTCAGAAACGACATTACATTATCAGTGTAATCCATTCTGCATTATCAATATAATGACTCTTGTGTCAAAACAAGAGATTTTTAACTACGTTGGTTTTTTGGGGGTGTCACCATAGTATTTATGAAAGATATGTGACATTAACAGCCATAATATACACTTAATTGCATTAGAAAAGAATAGAATAGCCTTTATTGTCATTGTACAGAGTACAACGAAATTGGAGTGCCACTCCCTTGGTGCAAGTTTCAATGATAAATATAAATGTAAAATATAAAAAGTACAAAAAAAACAATCGTAAGTACTCAAACAATAGTATGTACAATATATACAGGATAGCAGCATTAATATAATGACAGTATGAATAGCAGCATTAATATAATGACAGTGACGGTATGGAATAGGTTCAATTGTTTTTGTGCTTATTTACTAATAAATAAGGGGAAAGAAGCTATCCCTGAATCTGTTTGTCCTGGTTTTATGTGACCTGTACCGTCGGCCTGACGGTAATAGTTCAAACAGTTGGTTGCTGGGGTGAGAGTGGTCCTTGATGATGTTGCCAGCTCTGCTGAGGTACTGAGAGTTTGCAGTGACCTCCAGGCTGGGCAGAGAGCAGTCAGTTGGAGAGATGTGCTTATCTAGTTAGTCAATCACATGCAGCTCGTCTGGGTAAAAACGCCTTGTTGATGCCAGAGATCAGAAGAATGGCTAGACTGCTTCAAGCTCTTATAAATGCAACACTAACTCAAATAACCACTCGTTACAACCAAGATATGCAAAAGAGAATCTTCGAATGTGCGGTGTGTCACATGGCAGCAAGAAGCTGGCTCACCAAAACTAGACAATAGAAGATTAGAAACCTGGTAAAGCCGAAGCATGGATCCATCCTGCCTTGTATCAGTGGTTCAGGCTGGTGGTGTAATGGTGGGAAAGACATTTTCTTGGCTCATGTTAGGTCCCTAAGTATCAGTTGAGCATTCTTTAAACAGCACCTCCCACCTGAGTATTGTTGCTGACCATGTCCATCCCTTTATGATCACAGTGTTCCCATCTTCTGATGATGCTTCCAGCAGGATATCATGTGCCATGTCACAAAGCTGACATTTCGAACTGGTTTGTTGAACGCGACAATGAATTCACTGTCTTCAAATAGTCTCCATAGTTGAAGATCTCAATCTAGTAGAGCACCTTTGGAATCTGTTAGATTAGAAGATTTGTAAATTTGTAGCAAATGTGATCCTGTCATGTTAATATGGACCACAATCTGAAATGAATGTTTCCAGTACCTTGTTAAAACTATGCCACAAATAATTAAGGCAGATCTGAAGGCAAAAGGGAGATACTGGCAAACATTAGGATCCAGTGAGTGTGTATGTCAGCCACAGTGATGCAAGACAGGCAATGTCAGTCTGTTGGTTTCTCCAGTGATGTACTCTGGACTGAATTAACTATTTGATTAACTGCCAGGAGGTTTTTATACATAAAGTTTCCCCAGAGGATGATTTTGACTGATTTTGGAGACCCCTTAAGATTTTCATCAGATCAGTTTTGTTTTGTCCAAAATCTACATTTTGTTAGTTTTAGCTATAATTGGTTTAGAGCAAAGGAAATGTTAGCAATCCAAAAAGCTGGACTAAGACGAGTTAACGCTATAAACAATGCTACCTCTCAATATCAGCATGTTAGCAATGATGCTGTGAGTCAGCTGGCCTCATAGCATAGCTGCACACACAGCTTTGTTATTATTAGAAGTAAAGGAAGTGACCAAACAAGAGCTGAAACATCACTTACATGATGTAAATTAACACATGTAATAGTAATTCAAGTTCAAGTCAAGAAGTTGAAACCAAATGTGTTTTGTTTGGTTATTTTTTAGTTTTGCTCAAAAGTGATGTCTTTGCACACACAATCCAGGCATTAAAACAAACATTTCCATGATTCAAACTATATTTCTCATTTAACATATTAATCAGGCTTTTTTTATATATTAATTAAGAATAAAGATGATTTTTCTATTAACAAAAGGACATACTAAGCTCTGTTATAGCACTCTGTATCATTTTAAACATAAAACGCTAGATGTTAAAACCTTTTGCCCTCTCTCGGATGTAATGAGAGGAAAGCTTGGGGGACTCTACCTTTCTCGATAGCGACCAAAAAAACTGTATAATATTTACCAAAACAGCTAAACAGTAGTAAAAATATCTATCAACTGCTGCCCTGCATTTATAATATGTATTATGTGTGATTTTCCGTGTAGAAACAAATCTAAAATTAGAGTGGTGAGTCTGAGTCTGTTCCCGAGCGTAGACACACGAGTTGACACGCTCTGCCTCATGAGTGCAAGCATTAATATTTTAGTGTTGGGATAAATATTTCACTCTTTCAATGAGATGTGAGAAAAAGATACGTGGAGGGAAAGAGGATTGGATTACACGCGCGCCCCACATGAATAATGAGTGCAGAGATGAGAGGAGAACAAGGGCCTGGCCTGCTCCATGCTAGAGACAAAGATAGAAAAGGTGTAGTCACAGACAAAAAGGAGTACACAAAGGTCACCCGAGCCTTCACCTGACCTGCAGGGGGGCTTTTGATTGGTGGTGGGGGAGTCAAGTCTATTTCATGTTCCCTCCCCATGGACTTCCCTTTTATGGTGAGGCACCCCAGCTATTCATCGCTGTAATAATCCCGCTCGTCTCTCGTTCGTTCTGGGCACTGACACTCACAGGAATGCTTACACAACACTGACAAGAGTTGGGGGGGGGGGTTTGTTTAGCATGTCATAAATGTTTTGTATATCCAAGTCCAGTACGTCCATTTGCACGCACAGACAGTCTCGGTTTATAGAAATAGTGATGAACCAAGATGAGGTGCACTGTCGAGCACATAAAACAGACACTGATGATGATGTAACAGAAATGTTAAATTGTGTCAGTGAAGCAAGCGGTGGCTAGTGGTTTCACCGCTTCACAATTAAGAAATAAATTCCCACAAGTGACTGACATAATCAGACGGGTAATTATTTAATAACGGGAAACTTGGTCTCCTATGCCCACTGCAAGTAGTTTTATTGTAAAACAACTACACACACTGTACACACACACACTCTCTCTTTACCTGAGTCCAGCTCTGATCTGATCATATGGAGATGAGTGAGATGTTGTTAATTTTTAGACACATAATGCCCGGCTCATTTATATTCACAGCAAACAACAGGTTTTAAATTAGCAGCACAGCTACACAAAAAAGTCCCAAAACATCAACTGTATCTGCAGGATTTCCTGTCATTCATGTCCAGCTTGTCCTGCAGATCATCTGGATCTTGGAGGGGCCTTTCACGCCCCTTCATCTTGTCTCCCTGTGTCATCCAACTCCTCCACATCCTCATAGTCCATCTCAGCCCTCTCATACTCTAGCTCCTCTCCCTCAAACTCAAACCCTTCTCCCTCACATATCAGCTCCTCTGTCTCATATTCGACCGCCTCTTCGTCATATTCGAGCTCAGTCCCGCCATACTCGTTTATTGGAGGCTCCACATACCCTCCTTCCTCTTCCTCCACTTCATCCTCCACTTCTTCCTCCTTCACCAGAAGCTCTTCCTCTTTAACATCTGTGTCCTCTATGGTCACTGCAGCTTCATTTGGTGCTTGCTTTGAGCTGCTGTTCTTGAGGATGCCATGAATCACCGGCTCCTCTCCTGCAAGTGCCAGCTCTTCTGCCTCTTTCTCTGCTGCCTTTCGTTGTCTCTCCTTCCTGGCCTCACGCATCTCCAAAAACTCTGCAGCTCCCTCCCCAACCAAGACGGCGTCTTCACCTACTATAGGAGGTTCCTTGACTGGGTTGTGGTCATAGGAGAAAAGGCGCAGGGCTCTGAGACGCTTCAGGCTGGGAATTTCTGATATCTTGTTGCGGTCCAGGTCTAGGATCTCCAAGGACTTCATTCGAAGAAGGACTTTTGGGAAGGTGTCAAAGCGGTTTCCGTAGAGCCACAATCCCCTCAGAGCCTCCATGCGCCACAAGTCAGGAGGCAGAGTCTTCAGGCGGTTGTCCCCCATCTGCAGGGACTTGAGGTTGGGTAAGTCATAGAGCACTCGTGGGAATCTCTGGAAGTAGTTGCTCTCCATCCACAAGCACCGCAGATTCTGCAGGTTGCTCAGCTCAGGTGGAAAGCTCATTAGGCGGTTGCTGCCCAAATAGAGGCGGGTGAGGTTAGTGAGGTCGCAGACGGCCAGAGGAACATCTTCTATTTTGTTGAAGTCGAGGGCAAGTATCCGCAGACCCTGCAGCTGGGAGATGCTGTCGGGCAGGGTGCGCAGGCTGTTTCCACAAACATAAAGCTTCTCCAGATGCATCAGGTCACAAACACGTGAAGGCAAACGCTTAAATTTACGGTAGCTCAAGTCCAACACGGGGTCTCCACTCTCCAGCAACTCCTCCACTCCAAGCGGAAGTTCCTCCTCTACTTCCTGCACTACTTCCTTCTCCTTCTCGGAAAATTCTGCCTCTTCGCCATCTTTCCCCCCCTCTTCCTCCTCTTCTTCTCCCCCTCCCTTCCTGGAGGAGTTGCCCATGCTGTTGCCTGCAGCACCTTTGTGACTCCTGTGTGAGTCAAGACAGAGTCATTTGATGAGGGAGTGTCTGTGACAAGTCAACCCTGAGCCTGGGAGCTGCTGCTGTTTTGTGGTTGTACCCACTGGCTGCAAACCACATCCTGGCCCGGGCCAGTTAACACTCCGGCAGCCATACCAAAGCAGTTTGTCAAGTGTCTCGTTGTCCCTTCATCTACAGCTTCATCACAAAACAGTAGCGGAAAAGATCTAACAAACTGCAGAGTAATAGTAATGATAATAATAGTAGTAATAGTAGTAGTAGTAGTAGTAATAGTAATAATAGTAATAGTAAAGGTGTTGTTGATAGTTGAGTTCAACAAAATCCAGCTGAATTTTGAGCTGAAATTGAATTCTTGCAGTCCTTACCCTCTTCTCTCCTCTCTAACTTCCTCGGGGCTTTTAAGCGAAAGATAACGCCACCTGTTCACGTGATCCGGTTTCTCTATTAGAAGAGGAGAAAAAAGTGCCACTAAACAGGGAGCCTACCTCCCCTCTTCCTGCGGATAAACCCACAGTGTGTGCGCACTCAGTGACCTGGCTGGCGGCAAAGAAAAACAGTTAATGGAAGTCTGTTCACTAGTTAACGCAGCTGCTCCCCATTAGAGGCCGAGGTTTCCCGGAGTAATAATCCGCGCCCGAGGAAAAACAAAAAAACCTGCACATACTGGAAAAGAACAGCGCTCACTGACTCCCCTCAACTCCTGATGTTGGCCGCTTCTCTCCATCAGTGTGAAGGTTTACATTCAACTGCTGCCTCCCTCCTTCTGTAACAGGAACAGGGGGCATTCACGTCACATGGCCAGTGTGTCCTCGTGTGAGTGCGTGTGTGTCTGCGCGCGTGCGCCGGTATGATAGAAGTAGCCTCTTAGAAATAAATATATTTTAAAAAAAGAAGCAACTTTAAAAACAACTTTTTCCCACAAACAAATTTTTAGGTGTGAGGGTTTGATCAAACGATAAACAAAAAAGAATATTAATAGTGATAAACATTATCCTGATATTTATGTTCATCTGCACAGACGACAAGCAAATTCGCAGGCTTACCTACGCTTATATTTACACATTCGCACATGTATTAACCGCCAGCGCCACTTTTTAATTGCAATTAATAGTTTTTAGATTCATTTTGTGTCTGGAGTATTAGTCCTGCCACAGAGTGACACAGAGCACACATAATCGCAAGCGTTACAGTTTATTACTTTTCCTCGTAAAATGTTGTTACTATAAATCCATACGAAACGAGAAACAGCCTTTCAAAACAAATAAATACATTTGTGGTTTTGCCGTTTGTAGCTACTATAAATCTTTATGTACGGCTATATGTATGTTTGATGATGGAGATGAGGCTCACTGTCCACAATGGTCTACTTAATTTTGGTTTTACTCATTTTTGTAGGTGACCTGCTGAGACCTATAAAATTGTTTGACAGAGCACAAAACTCAAGACTTGCTGTTATGTTTTTTCTCCTAACCAAATCACTGCAAACCAAGTAGTCTTTGGTCACTCACATTCTTATGCAATAGGACTCCCAAGTACAATATGAGATTCACATATAGTATGGTTTTATATGCAAACCTAAAGTGAACAAACAACTCTGCAACGATTGCTAAAATAATTCTCTTTTACTGTTGTTGCTTCACATTATGGCTCATATAGTTTAATTGTCAAATGTTTTATGTAAAAATTCCATCCATCCATTTGCTTCAGTTCTGTAAATATATGCACCGTCCTCTGATGGCCAGTAGGTTGCCTGTAGCCACCCTTTGGATCCAGTCTTACAGATCATTAAGCCTTTTTGGTTTAAGTGATGTTGTCACACTTCCTGTTGTCTGATGTTGTCCAACCATGAATCAAAAGTCAGAGAGAAATTCCAGGGGTTAATCCAGAATCATCAATTAATCTAACATGCTTGTTTTTGGACTGTGGAACAAAGCTGGATTGCCCGGACAGAACCCACGCACACTCAGAAACGTCCCAGACTGGATTTGAACCTTATTGCTGTGAGGGCTAATCACCCTACAGTCAACCTTTGATTTCACTTTGTTACACTACATTTTCAGATTGCTTCTGAAAATGTTTCAGTGATCAATACTCTGAATTCCAGAAAAAAGAAAACAACCAAACAAAAAACCCTCCTGATTAAAGATTTTCCGCACTTCATATTTCAGTCCTGTTTTGTTAATTATTCAGATGGCTTTTTTTATTTAGCAAAATGATCGGTGGAATAATTTAGTGCAGGAAAAGTCTCAGCAAATGCCAATAAACAACTCAAAGCTTTACAGGGTTTTAATTTTTCTCTACGTGACACAGATACAGTGGACTAAAGTGCAGCTCAGATTGAAATGAATGTGACACGACTGAAAAATATTCCTACACCGCGGCTCAAAATAGCTCCAACATTTGGGTGAGCCCAGAGCAGTTTTAACTAAAAGGGCAACAACAGTTCCAGAAAAGACTAACTTTGTCCAGTACAGAACTATTCTCTTTTTCTCATAGTTTACCCCACAGTATTACAGGATATTACTGAGACTATTGTAGCGTTTTCAGCCATTTGTTTTTCTGTATTAAACTAATTCAGAATTCAGTTCAACCTTAACATTATACTTTAATCTGAAAGAAACACTGAAAGAAAAACATCCTAAAATAATGAAGGTTCAAGATGAACCAATCCGACACTGTATTTTTAATGAATCTGACCATATAACTTCATCTCGCGTAGCTTAAAATTTGCAATGCTGTTTATACTGACTATACTGAATTTGTACTGAGGAGATTACAGCATTCACATAATGCAATAATGATCACATGCTACTATCAACAAGAACATGATACTTTCTATCTTACTATTGATACTTTACTGAGCATTTCATCCCAAATTACTTACCTTTTTGTTTTGTTTTTGAAAAACAGACTCAATACTTGGCAGCAAAAGGTTTTTAGAAACATCTTTAGGTTCTAATATTTCTTCTTTACACTTACATATCTGTTGATGGGTTGCAACCTATTCTGACCCAAATGTTGCTTAAATACAATCTTATGTGTCATTTGAATGTAAATCTCCAAAGAAATATTCAGATATGAGATAATGTAACTGATGGGATGAAAAGTGTAGTGATGCCAAAGTAAAAAGTCTCTCACTCTTTTCTGAGGAAAATACCCCCACCTTTCATTTGAGGGACCAAAATGAAAGTTAACCTTTAGCCCGAATTCATCAAAAAACTTAATAACAGCATGCAGGTTTTCTGATTGACAGTCTATGCTGTTGGTTGTGATACTGAGGAAAAGTCTGTAAAAGATGCTGGGGTCAGATGTGCAGGGCTTCTGTCAGCTTGATAAGCTATGGCAGAAGAAGCGGACAAACAGGGAGACAGGCGGCGCGCTGCTTGAGGATAATCCTGTCTGATATGCTGAGGACCAAAAGAGCTGATTAGCAAATTTCTATATAGCATTAAAATGACCCTGAAATGACACAGTGAACTGTAAGCAGGGGACATAAAAGACTGAGACCTCAGGCAGTGAATAGATGTGACTGTTGAGGTGAAAGTGTTGAATGCAGATGAAGCACTGCATGACTTCACTACCATGGACGAACACACACATAACAAACACAGGGACAGGGTAAAGGAAAAGTAACTCTAAACAGTTATTAATGATCATTTTTTCATGGTGGTCTAATGGAAAATCAATAATTATTAAGTATTTAATATTTATATATATTTCATAAATGTTTCTGGAAAACACAAGAAGCAAAACAGGACTGCAATGAGAGGCCTTCATGCTTTTGGAACTTGAGGTTAAAAGAGAACAAGGAAGCAATTTCATTAAAGGAGCATATTTGCACTATCTGCTGGTGAAGGAGAAAACTGCAGCTGATACAGCATCATTGTGCTTATTTACAGTAAAGGAAAATATGTGTGATTTGATGATGCAAACAGTTCAAGTCTAAAAACAGAATGACATCAGGCAACCATTTTTGTGTTTACTGTAGTGCTTACTTTGTAGGTATCCACATTTAAATTGAATGAAGGGTTTAGGAGTTTCAGCTCCTTAACATGTGCCAATCTCTTTTTAAAGGGACCAAAAGTATTTGGACTCAAAGTCTATTTCATGGGCAGGTCTGGGCAATTCCTTTGTTATGTCATTGTCAATTAAGCAAATAAAAGGCCTGGAGTTGATCTGAGGTATGGTGCTTGCATTTGGAAGATTTTCTTTACTGTGAACAGATAACATGCAGTCAAAGGAGCTCTTCATGCAGGTGAAACAAGCCATCCTTAAGCTGTGAAGACAGAAAAAAACCCTTCTGAGAAATTGCTAAAATATTAGGAGTGGCAAAATCTGTTTGCTATATCCTGAGAAAGACAGAAAGCACTGGTGAACTCAGCAATACAAAAAGACCTGGACATCCACAGAAGACAACAGTGGTGGATGATGGATGATCACAGAATCATTTCTAGCCCTTCACAATAGCCAAGCAAGTGAACAACACTCTCCAGGAGGTAGGTGTATTGATATCCAAGTCTATCATAAAGAAATGACTTAAGTAATCTCTTTGTTTTTGGCATGATCTTTCTCAAGTGACAGCTCAAACTCTTGCTAAAGTTTTTATACTGTGTGTAAACTGGCAGGTAACTTTCAGTTTTAACTAGATTTTACACACTATGAGCATTAGAAAGTTAAAGGACATCACTGCACAGCGCCACGGTGCCATGGCTCAATAAAAAGGTTAATTATACATTTAAATTGACCCTAATCATTTTTTGTTTTTTCGGAAATAATTCTTTTATTGTATTTCTTTCTAAAGAAAACTGATGTGTTTAGAAATGGCATGCTTTGAAAAAGCATATGAAAGTTTTAACAAAAACTTCATTTTTGTCCCTGTTTTATTTGTCATTTCTGTGAATACAATATGGGTTTATGAGATTTGCAAATAATTATGTTCTATTTTATTTGCATTTTACAT